CCCCCACCCCCCCCCCCAACCAACCAAAAAAAAAAAGAAAAAGAATGTGTATCTTCATAATAACATCACTGGGGTGTCAATGAGGAGATGCTCAATGTTCCACACTATCACTATGATGTTGATAACTCCATATTGGATTTATATTCTTACTTCTATTAAATGTTAGTCCAGTGCCATTTGTGATGCTTTGAACAAGAATCTTGCGAGAGAGAGTCCTGTGACCTGGAATTATTCCAGCTCGAGCATGCTTAACTTTGGTCATGATCATCCTTGAAAAATGATAAGGCTGACACTTTGACTTTATAGGAGTTGTTACAAAATAGAAACTCATTAAGCACAGCTCATATGGGAATACTTAATCAGGGTTGGAGCGTGAATTAAGACTTAAATGGGTCACTGGGATATATGGTGCTTTTCTTATGCTGTGTTGTCATTCTTTCAGTCTGTGCTGTGGGGGTAGGGTAGTGATATATCCACCTTTAAATATCAACTTATTTCATGTTATGGGTGTACCATGCAAAAACAAGCGAAAAAAATATGATTGACAGCTTGGTAAAACAGTGATTTAATATTTCAATTTTCATAAATGATCCATAGCAATTGAAACAATTAATTTCTTTCATAGAGGACTGGAAAATGATGCAGCAGCCTGGTTCCCATGATTTTCAATACCCTACAAATATAGGCAGGTAATGTTCATGAAAATTTCACGACAGAGTCACAGATCATAAATAACATTGATAATGCCGGAATTTTGGAAAATGATTTGCATAGCGATCATATGCTATGATGAAATACCAATAAGAAGGATAAAGTACCCTTGTTATTTTTTGTTATTTTTCAAATTGAAAGACAAGTGATAAAGAAAAGTTGATCTGTGAGATGATTATTCAGGTACAAAGATGGGAGAATATAGTCATATACCTTAGTTCTTGCTTCACTTTGGTTTTTCTCTGCCTCAAGAGCTTGGTGTTTTTCTTCTAACTTCGAGTAAAACTAAAAGAAAAAATTAGAAAAAACATTATTTCATATGTACTGAAATATCAGATATTACAAATACCAATTGCATATATAGGATGAAGTAGTAAGCCTACCTCTTTCCGCTTTTCAGCACGCTCACTGCACCTAAAACTAGGTGCTGATGCCACAGTGGTTCTTCCTTTTAATGTCTTCACAGATGCAGCAGTTCTAACATTATTCAGGAAACCATCATTATAAAATTTTGAAAAAAGATTTTGGACCAAAAAAAAAAAAGAGACTAGCGGGAGGATACGAAGAAGCCACAGAGCAAGAATCTTCTTCATCAGTATGTTTACTGTCAGCATGCAGAGGCTTCCTTGATGCAAGAGGCGGGTTGCCCTGTAATACATATCAAAAGTATTATCTAATGGTAGTTACACAACGTCCTAACAAGGGAGAAAATCCAAATACCAGTTCCTACATCAAACTATAAAAGGTACAGGGAGCATCTGTCCAGTATGCTTTTCCAAGACCAAATTAACAAAACCATAGAAACACAGGATGAATGTGGACAAGTAGCTCTGAATGCACAAGCCAGATAGACTCAACAAAATATATAATGGTTGAAACGGAATTATATCCCGTCACTGAACATTAAAATATCATGCACGTGCATGTGTGATTAAAACAAGTTTGGCAGATGAGAGTTAAGAGAGGAGGAAATGCAATTTAGGCAAAGGGAAAATTCCAAGATAACCGATAATTAGGTAAAAGTAGAAAGTGTGTAACAATAATTGCAGGGAACTACTGGATAAGAAAAGGTTATGAGAATTAAGAGAGGAGGAAATGAAATTTAGGCAAAGGGCAATTCCAAGATAACCGATACCTACGTAAAAGTAGAAAGCGTGTAACAGTAATTGCAGGGAACTATTGGATAAGAAAAGGTTAAACCTTTATGCTTGGTGCTGCTCATAGAGAAGCAACAGTGAAGAATGACAAGTTTATGCATTACGCACTTACAGAACAAAGTATAGAATATACCGAAAATACTGTTAAAAAGATGCTGCCAGAGGGGGGAAAAGGATTAATAAAAACTAAAACAACAGCTTTTTTAGGCATTGGTATTTAGATGTTCAGCATATTGTAGGAAATAACCAAAGAGATTTAAGTGAAGATGAGGTGACACAAAAGCTTAAAACATGAAAAATAAGAAAGAAACATTTCACAACTTAAAACTGAGTCTCTACTAGAGAATAATCTAAAAAAGGCATGATGCCTCAATGAATCAAATAAACAACAAAGAAAAAGCTGAGCAGTGCAAAGAAAGGAAAAGAAATAACATGAGCCTTCTTCATGAGGTTCTGCAACTGCAAACTACTTGAATTGGACGTTTTTCCTTCAGCTACAGTTTTTGGAACCAAAGAATTTCCACTTGATGCATGCTTGACAGTTGCAAGAGCAAGCGGTTGGGAAACATTTTGCCTAGACCTCACGTTTCCAGCAGTACTGGATTTCAACGTCAACTTCGCAGAGTGGTCCAAAATTTTGTTATTTGTTGGCTTTTGCCCTACCCTGTTAACCTTTTTCATCTTTTCGACGTCACCATCTAACTCTAAATTGTCAATACGAGGCAGTTCTTGCTCCTTGAGACCGTCACTGATTCCATTAATAGGGACATCCACTGAATATGTCATGCTATCTTCCTTGCCACCATCCCCTTTTGATCCTTGATTTATTGGAAGATCATGAGAATCAGGATTCTCCATTTCAGCCTTCTCCAATTCAGAAAGTTGGTATGAATTAGAATCATGATCACTGGGTTGTTCAGGGTTATCAGGAGCTGAACAAATCAGAACACAATCAGGCTCTTCATCTGTGCTCATGTCTACAACTTCCTTCCTCATTGAACTACAAAAAACACAACATGAGAATATCAAAAAAGTCTATCATGAAGCCTTTGCAAGTAAAATAGATAAAAAGAAAAACTCTGATCCTCCAGATTCAAACTACCAAAGGTTGATAATTTACTTTGTTTTACTTCTGTTGTCATTATCTACTGTAGTTTCAACTAGAGAACACATTGGTTAACTCAAAAAGTCTTACAATACATACAGTGGCATAGCCTGGAATTGCAAGTTTGGGTGGCACTTTCGTTTCTTCTCTTAAACATACTAAATTAGTTACATCGAACTTTTTTTTTGAGAGAGAGAGAGAAAGGACAGTCTCAAACTTAAAAATAAGCCCAATCAAATATTATATATGAAACATTTTTATTTATGAAATATTCTTGAAATATTTTTTCTTTTTTTAATCCGAATATGCATAGTTGTACTAGGTCCTTTTTTCAAATTCAATTTTTTAATAAAATCTTTCCAATCAAATTTAGATGCTTCCTTAAATTTGTTCACTACAGGATAAATAAGGTTGAGCTAAGAATGAGAACTTGATTCTTGGTCTACTTTTCTTGGGTTTTTTTAATATTAGTCAGTCAAATCTTCAATAAACTATATTAATTCCCTCAAGTCTTAAAAATTGCTCATACGTCCCTCAAATTATAGAGGATCTTGCAAACTGTTACTTTAGTTCCCAAAATATTGCTCAGCTTAAACGCCCCTGTGTTCACAAATACATAAGCTAAAAGGGAATTTCGGTAATCTCGAGACCAAATTGCAAGACCCCGTAGGATTTGAGGCAGGTATGAGCAATTTCAAATTTTGAGGGATTAATATGGAACTATTGAAGATTTAAGGGACAAATATATTATAAACCCTTACTCTTTAAAAAAAATTATTTGCCTTGCTCTTTATATTTGAACAGAGGAATCAAAGATATTGAGATTTCTCTTTTTGAGAAAACCATGGATAACCTGTCAATTAATTGGTGGGTACGGGAAAGATTAAGACCATATAGTGAATTGAAAAATAAGTATTGTTAGTGTTTAGATATAGACCCAAACAGTAAAGCTAAAATAAGTTAAGATTATGACCTCACATGTAAATTATTGGATCAAGAACTTTTGAGCTAATTATCTTCAGTCTTGCTTCTCAATCTTTCTTAGAGTGATGACTTCTATTTAAGGCCCAAGCTTTGGCTCATAACAAAGCGCATATGCATTGCGTGTCTTTTAGAAATAGCAATTAAAACTAAGATCAAAAGTGAGGGTCATAGTACTTTACTAGTCAAATTAAGGCTATAAAAAGAAGGTCCCCCATATATATTTCGAGAGAACAGGGGGGCATGCACATGAACCCCCTTTAACCCCCTCCCTCCGCCCATGAATACATAATTACCATCAATAACAGCAGATAAATTTCCAAGTGTTTGTCACTTCTCCCCTTATTTATTTAGAAATGCTAAGAGATTATTTTCATTATTCTTCTTCTAGTAGCAACTACTACTACTACTGGTCTATTTATTCTTTCAAACAAGTTGACATGTAAAACAAAAAGATTTCTTATAAAACTTGTTTTTGAACATTATATCTATACATTTCTAAATAAACACCTCACAACAAAGAGATGTCCACAATGATATAGACATAAGGAGTAAATAAGAATCATTCAGGTTTGAACACCTATGTACAATAAGCATGCAAATCTACAGAAGAAACAAGAAATACTAATGGTGTATGTATCTGTGTTCTTGTGGATAAGCTTTCTTGTTTCCCTTCTTACCAAAGTACATTGTGCAAAATCCTGATCAAATAAAGCAATCTGACACCAAACTTGCAAGTTGCATGAGCTTGAGAATTAGTTTCTTCTCACTTAGTGCAACATAATTTTATACCAGTAATTACAAAGAATGAGTTTTGATAGATTGCCAAGAATATCAGAAAGAAATCAGAATAAAATGTAATACCTTATAAAAGTAACATTGATGGAACTGTCAGTTGGTGTTACATATCAATAGGATATACTACCTAATCTGGACCACATATGTGAAAACCCATCAATTTAAGCAACAAAAGCATAGAATCAAATGGTCACAACAAGAAAGGATAAAAATGACACCTCAGTTATATGCAGCTCTTTTGGCACAGGAGAATGAAAGCGATTCATCAACCAAACAATTCAAATGAAAAATTCAAGAACAGTCAATAGTAGAAACAATGGCAACTCTAAGCTCCAAAGACTATGAAACTTCAGCAGAGCATCATGATCATGCAATGATAGTTTGTATAAAATGGCATGTGACGAAAAGAAAACTTACCAACAGGTAGAATTTTTAACTGCTACAAAATTGCTAGAGTTATCTCATTACTGTCTACAAAAATTTTAACTGCTAAAAAGTATGATAAGCCTCAGGTAGAATTTCTGCAAAATAAAATGAAATACATGGTTCTACAGCTGAACTGTATAAAGTATTATCAGGTATCAACATTCCTAAAAGTAACTACAACGACACAGCTATCAAGATAAAAGATAGGTATGCATGTGTGCCATAATCCATCATTTATCATAGCAATTTGCAACCTACATCTTTTGCTCAAAGTATAATTTTAATTTACAGATGATTAAGGATTTTTGTGGAAGCTGTGACAGAATAACATATAAATAAATAAAATCATTTATCAAACAGATGAACCAATAGTAGGAAACCTAAAGGAAGAGAAGGAAAAGTTCTGAACTAAATCAATACTTCATATTCATGAGGACTAACAATTATGGTTTAAGGTATGATCCTCAAACGCTTTAGTACATGCATCCTATGAATACCAACACCCTCCTTCCCATTAGCTTCCTCTAATTCTATCGCAGAATTAAATAAGTTCAAGGTATCTAAGAAAAACTATAGACAAGAAGACACTACAACATGGTAGACAAAGGCCAACCAGCAAAACTCTAGGCAACAAGTTAAACAGTTTAGAAGACAGGTATTAAATTTTATAGTTAAATTCCCTGACGATCTATCTGCGAACCTATTCCCTCCGATACACAAGTTGGTTCCCCAAAATTGGTGTACTGCTTACAAGTAGACGGGGCACAAAGTCCCTTTAAGTGTACATGCGCAAGACGCAACGTAAGGTGCGTAATCGAGTAAAGGAAGGCACACAATAGAATATATGAGAGTCAATGACTTTACTATAGCTAAATATCTATGTTAATTAAACGTGAAATGACACCATGATCCCAACATGACCTATGCGAAAACAAAAACGGAACAACAAAAATGAACTCTGTAAAAAAGAAGCACATAAGTATTTTGTATGAAAAAATATTGAAATCTGTATTTAGCTTTCTAGTTTCTAGCTTTCTACTATACGCTTTGGAAAATGGTAAACGCACACACAAAAAAATTACAATGTAACACTGATCAAACTTGCGTACCAAAGCAAGCTACCCCCATCGAATCTAATTTTTCTTAGTGGCGAATTGTGTACCGAATTCGTACCGCAACCCACTACGTACCACATATTGTTAACTATGCCCATAAAATAAGTAGATGGCTTTGCAATTCTAATTTCAATATATCAACACTGCCAAATTAGTTAGCTTCTTACTTGCCTAAGAGTTGATACTTCATAATAGAACTAAATCATACCAAAAATAATAATCCATCAAATATTAAGCTAATAGCTACACTATTGAATCATAAAACTGGATTTAGTTGAGCAGACAAATATATGCTTCCCCAGAAGCTTCACTAAATGTTCAAAATATAAAAGAAATGTTTATCCTTTATTATTTTACAAACTGAAATCAGGCTTCTACTCCAATATACTATTCTTTTTAGTTTTTCCCCCTTACTTAGATACTTTTCAGCTTCCGGTATAAATTACGAACTAAAATTCTTAGGTTTTTGCAGTGTAACTTAACCAGAAGTAAAGGTCTTAAACAACAAAAGATCTCAAAACAAAACAAATCAAGTGAATAAATGAAACTTCACCTTTAACTATTAAACAAACAAGAGACTAACCAACAAACTGATAAAATACCAACAATTCATCCAATGAGAAACATGAATGAGACAAATCCAAGTGCTCAGAAACTACAAAAATATAATTATATCTTGATGGGAGTAGTTATCCTAACATGTTTCAACAATATTCAAATGAAATATAACAAAAAAATTGAATGCCGCGTCAAATAAATAAGGTCAAATTTTCCAAGAATGTGAAAAGGTCAAGCAATATCAATGCTCCAATATTACTAACCTTTACCAAACATTATCAAATTCGCAATAATAAGCGATCCCCACGAAAATTGACACTTTTTGCCCATACAAATGATCGATCCCCAAAAATTACTATTAAATCCCATCAAATCACACTGAATCAGTGATTAATCAGCTAAAACTAGCCTCAATCGCTCTCACATTACACTGATCAACACCATAACAAGCTAAAGAACAAAACAAGCAGCGATTTCAACTGTTAAGAGGCGATAAAAGAGAGGAAACTGAGAGAAATGAGAAGGATTTTCTTACAATCTTTAGCTTCGAGATCGTCGAAGATCTCGATTCAGTAAATGGATCCAAGAAACCCTAACTTTTTCTCTTTTACTCCGCCCACGGTCCTCGCTCGCTCCTCCACTTCTCACGGCGCCGACGAACGCTGTTTTTGTTATTTTATAGCTCCTGATGTTTTTCAGATAAATCCAATCAACTTTCCTATTTCACTTATGAGCTTTTTCAATATTGGATACGTTGATGATGAATGAATGTTTAATATTTGCCGGTTAATTGGATCGTAGATCATTATATTTTTCTCATAATTAGATGTTCATATTTGTTTGGATGGCCGATCGTGTAATTAAATACTATTTAGATTGTTGGTCACGTATGTCACTTTCCGATAATTTAGGTTTTATATTGTTATTTATTTTTATACAATATAATTTGCTCAATATATCACGAGTTAATATTTCAAGAAAAATTGTCAAATGCGATATATTTACCCAATACAAGTTAGCCAATATATTACAAATTTTATTTTCACAAATGCTTGACATATTACACATAGGAATAAATTTGTTATGTCAAATGAGCAAGACTCTTTTATGTCACGTCAACGAAAAAATGATTATGTGAATTAGCATAAAACATTAGAAATAATTAAAGATCTGATTAGTATTTAATTATGTAACTAACCATCCGAGCAATTAAAGCATAGATATTAACATCTATCAATAATGACTAGTGATCCAATTTACCCAATATTTTTTACATCGGTCTATGAAATCATTGAAATTGATAAGTAGCCCCACAAGTTTTAATAGTAATCGCAAATAATCCCATAAAGCTAGATCTCATCTGAGTTGGGAAGTATTTCATTTAACTAAACTTTTTCTTATAACCCATCGAAATCCGCCCCAGTATAATTAAAATCTAAACTTGTTTAAAATTTAAACTTCGTAGTTCTCTTTTCTTTCTCAGCTGTTATTCCTTCTCTCTCTGACACTAATTAAGGATAAACATGTACTTCATCATGTGCGGTAAACAAATAACCTGGACTAGGTAAAAATTAGGAAAAAATAATTGTTAGAGGGATAACATATCCATTTCTATAATCTGAATAACTACTTTCAAAATATTATAATTTTGAGGGGCCAGTATGGAAAAGCCTTTGCCTGTGAGTTGTGCCATCG